TGGCAAGTTCAAAGTGTCACATTAACTTTGTCGCACACTGTGCGGCAAAGTCCGTGCGTAAAAGTAAAACAAATGAACGCTAAAGAAAAGTGCTTGTTTTTGATCATCGCTTCTGTTCGCAAAATGGCACTTTTTGATTCATTCGAATAAAAAGGAATATTTGGCTTCTCCTTTGCGCCTAATGCCATACTTACCAGCCAACCCCTTCAAGCATCCAGCTTTGATCCAATTTCTCGGTTCCAAAAGCTTCTCAAAACCAACAGTTGAAAATTAAAAAAATCGATCGAAATACTTTCGAAAATCGAAATTTTGATCTAAAAGAAAATGCATTAAATCCAAAAATAAGCGAATAAAAACTTGCTGATGTTTGAGCCGAAAGCTTGAATTATAACAAAAAAACCTGCGTTTTTGTTTCCGAATAAAACGACCTGTTATCTATACATAATTTATTAAGCTGTATTTACATTCAAAAATGACACTAATAATGATCGAAAATAATTAACCGATTCATACACATCTTATTGCACTCTTACAAAAATAGTTCAGTCTTTATGTACAAAATGACTTTCAATCGTCGCTCCATCAGGATTTTGGCAAATAAATGAAAGATCGATCCCCTTTTGGTTTCAAAAATTATTTGATCGTTTGCAGTTCAGTGCTTTTTCTATCCGACGTTTTGCTTGCATCTGCGACAATCATTCACAAAAGCAATCTGGCAAAGGACTTTTCGCCCCTTGCAATACGCTATTGGTTTGGTTAGAAAAAGTGTCCCCTGCAATATCTTTGAAAATGGGAGTCACACATCCTAGCGAAACGTCGAGTAAAAAGTCAAAGTTTCATAATTTCTCAGCTTATTTCTTTACGAAAATCCTGATAGAAGCAAAATCACATAATTAAAATACAAAAGCTCCAACAGAACTATCTATACAATTATAGAATTATTACAATGCTGCTGCTACCTTGACATGTAAAAGACAGATAATGTGTGCAAAAATCTGGAAAAGTTGCGAATTGTATTAAGTTGCAAATAAAGTTTCGAATAATGTTACTTGCTCGGTAAATTAGGTACCCAGGTGAAAGTCCAGTAAAATTTTTTGTTAGTGTTTAGCCAGCGGAAACTAGAGCTACGTAGAAGCGATTTTTTGTTGCATTTATGAATATTACAAAAACTAAAACTATACATGTATAGCACTTTGGAATTATCAGTGAAACACAATGCCCTTAACTAAATGAATACTCCCAAATCGGTGTGATGCTCGAACTAAAAATTGATCGGTGCAAGTAATCAATGAGAAATACGTTGTAAAAATGTAGTAATAAGAAACTACACACTTAAATGCACTATATAACACATAGTACACGGTAGAACAATGACGATATTAACATCAACTATCAAAGTTCCGGTTGTGTCCGAACGATTTTGTTAAAGTCTTTATGCTTTTGACGAAACTCACTTCTCTCTCCTAAGCAAAAGTGTATCACAAGGGTTAAAGAAAATAAGTGTCGGGGTATACAAATTACGACGTCTTTAGTACTGTTTTTAGTCTATCGAAGAGTATTAGTTGAGGAGAAGGTAAACACAAACGGAAACACAATACAGACCGTAGGTGAAGAGTGGACGAATTTGGTTGCTACTTAAACCCTGACCTCGGTTTGTGGATCCATAAACTGCCGGTTGAGCAGACGGTTCGATCAGATTTTCCATGTCTGAAGCAAAGGGAAAATTCAGCACTTAGTTACCCGTTAAACTTCGCCATTACAGTAACGGAAATCAACATTATTTGAAAACAACTCGAAACTTGTTTGGAAGTTGCCGCTCAACAACTGTAAATCTTCAGACGCCCAGCTTCCATTAGTTTTGCAAATCTGGATTTTAATGGCAGTTTATTTAGAGCAGCGGAGTAAATTTTGCCAGTTCCCGAGTAAGGAGTTTTCATTGTTTTGACACGGTAATCTTTTCTGTTGGATTGGCAGCTGAAGCTGATAGAAAACGTGCAATGCTAGCAAAAGTTCCGATATTGGCGATTTATTTTGGAGGGAATTGTTGTATTGTGAAAAGTCCACTTACCATTTGCTCTGGTGGTAAAGTGGAAAACCGGAGAAATCCTGCCCCAACCCTGATCATTTTTGGCTTGTACTCGAAGCTCGTAGGCTGTGGCCGGTTGAAGATTCTGGATCGTGTAGGACATTTTCTGCTTTGTCACCGCCGGATAAGGCAACTGAATGCGGGGATAGTTGAATCCAGGGCCGGGAATTGTCTGGAACAAGCTCTTTACTTCAGCATCGTTGCATAAAATTGCAGTCCCCGCTCTTACCAAGCTAACCCAATCGGGCCGGATTCCGCCCATCCGGGTCCCATTGGCTTTAATTGCCCGAAAATCGTTGGACTCTTCCTGTTTTCGCGCATGGTGTGTCTGATGGTGTCTGGGCTGTTGTCTGTAGAACAGCAGGAATTCGATTATGGAGGAATGACTGTTGACCGACCATGCAGCCGTGTATTTGTCCCTTTCTGTCCCTATGGGTTGTGACTCCACTTCTGGAGCCGTTGGGATGCCTGTTAAAATTATCCGACCACGAGACTTTCCATGCTGATTTGAGGCCACGCAACTGCAAGAACAAGAGCATGAAATAAGCGGAAATTGTATCGAGCGGTGATGGATCGATTTTTTGTATTTCAAGATTTTTCTTGTTGTGAGTCAATAAACGTTTTATGGCACGCGCACACATTGCAACATGAATCCGAACCGACACCAAACCCGTATACATTTGGGCAAATACGCAAAAATAAACAACCAGAGTGCTTTACAACTCTATATAGAATAGGTAAACCGAAAAATCTGTGTTATGAATACATTTTCACATTTCCAGCCTTTGTGGATTTTTCCTTTATTTGTCTTTCCCGTTCTCGTTTCATAATTCTGCGGAAGAAAATAAAGCAGTCGCGCTTATAGAAGTTTCGCAAGTCTGTAACTTTCAGAAGGAGTTTAAAGCGCCGGTTTTAGACACATAAAGATTTTATGTTTTGTTACAAGTTTTAACGCTTCTTTTAAATGCCGTGCTGTTTTTAATTGCGCACAAACTTCTAATTTGAATCAGATTACATGCAAAGTGAGGACGATGTAATCACTATGCTGATTGCTTGTTTAGAAGGCTAAAACATCGGGATTTCAAATCCAGCTGGAAACAATCGAACGGCAATTATCATTAAACTTTTTACGTTTACAAGTTGTGTAAACCAGCCAATTGCCAATTTTAAATTTTTGATTGCACCATGTTGCAGGTATCTTCACGGTTGTTAAAACACTCTGTACATTGTAGTCTGATACGTATAATGAAAAGCTTGATGCCGTCATCATTAACAATTCACTTAGTTAACAGCCCTAAAAATCCACAAGGAATTGCAACGCAACACGACATTCAGACAAACCCATTTATAAAAAATAATTAGACAGCGAGGGCAACAGTGATGAAATGAAAAATGCAATAATCAGCAGAATTTGCAAAAAACCACCGGAAGCAAGTCGCTCTGTTTGCGCCCAACTTTTATTCGATCCCCGCAGGACTTTTAAGGGAAATAACGAATAACTTGTGTTTAAACAATGCAAACAATTAGATGCTAAAGCTTTCCACCTGGAAGGAAAAAAGCTTTAATTAAATTTCCCAGCCGCAAAATGAAAACATTTAATTTGGCATGTAACAGCGTGACACGGCCACTGAAAAAAAACCGCTTTAACTAAAAGCCTTTTCCTCAAAAAATTCGCATCAGTGCGGTGAGACCTCTCGCCATTGTCGCAAAAAAGGCAGGAAAACATAATTTAGAAATACGTTTCCCGGGAATCTTTTATCTTTATTAAAAGTTAGGAAATATGTCCCTGTCTGCTCTGTTGTCTCTGGCGGGTGGTTATACTAAAAATTGAGATATAATGAAAATCAGTTGGGAAGATTTTCACAGAGCTTTCGCTCGCACTTCTTTTTTCCGCTTGTCCTTTGTTATCAAAAAGTTTCACTGGATTATGGAAAACTTCTCGTCTACAAGGTTAAGATGGGTAAAGTGTGACGATACCCAGCAAAGTTTCCCAGGGATGTGGCAATTTTAAAATAGGACACGTTGAACAGAAACTTGACTTTTTTGAGCGTTGGTCGCATGTTTGAGTTTTTGAAGTTTTTGACTAATTTGCTTCATTATTTGCCAGTTAAGCAAGGAATATTAAAATTCAAAACAAACCCATAATTGGGAAACATTTGATTCTTTATAGGCTTGGCTGTCTTCAAAACTTCATATTTGTTTTTAGTAGAAAACAAATATGAAGTTTTGAAGACAGCCAACCCTATAAAGAATCAAATGTTTCCCAATTATGGGTTTGTTTTGAATTTTAACCTCGTGATAGCGCTCTCAGGGAAGAAGAATTGTAATAACAACTACACGCAGTCAGGAAAATAAATCAAAATTAAATGTTTTGCAGGAGCCGTCATTCTCTGCATAAGACTTTGTAGATCGCCCACATTGTCTGCCAGAAAAAACATTTTTGTTAAAAGAGCAAATTATTTACTTTCATCTTCCAATGGCAGCCCAAGTAGGATTCATATCATCCCCACTCTCTGGACTCTCTGGACAAACAAAACTCCTAATGAGGTTCACATATCGATAATTTCATCAACATGGTCACCTAATGGATAAAGCGATGTTCTATACGTTGCCTCCTGGTTGCTTTGAACTGATCGAAAGGTGCATTATGTGCTGTTCCGTTTAGTTGTAAACAACTGATGGAGATTCGCTGAGACAATAATGGCATGCCGCCGGAACAGTAAGCCTAATGGAAGCTTTATATTTCCTTTCAAAGTATTTACTTCTATGCGATAATGTTGTAGCTGACTTTAATTAGTGGCGCTGTTTCAATTGGGAATTCCCTGCTGGTCTTTGTTTTAGCCGGTGGCAATGCATGCAGTGGACGTTAAGGCCTTTCTTTCGCTGAAACAAATCGTAGGCAACATTTGCCGGCAATATAAATGAAAATACTGCTACTTCTCCGGCTGGAATTGCATCATTTATCTTATCAGTTCCTTCCTACCGAACTTCTTAATTACTTTCCACTCTGCGTTTAGGCGGTGAAGCCAGTTGAACCGTAAACTTGCCGAACAATATCTGGAAAAATCCTTCCCCGGCAAGCCATATGTGTAATTATTGCAGCGCGGCTTGGCGAAATTTTCCGCCCAGTGGAGCGAATACGCCCAGTCAATATTATTATGGCATCCCCAAGATTTTCACGGGTCAAGGAAGGGTGAGCATATTATTCAGTACGTGCAGCTTGATTAGCATCCCTGATTGTACCACTAATGGCTTCGAGTGTGTGTTTAAAGTCAAGTGTCTGGAAGTGTAGGCTTGGCTGAGTTCACCTCAGTTCAAAATGAGGAAAATCGCATTGGGATTTATGCTTCAGGGGACTTTATTATGCGAATAATCAGTTATTTGAATCATTTACAGTGTTAATTTTTTCCAAACTCCATTACCCGAAGGGGAGTTATTATTTAGATATATTTAAATCATTGTCACTGGAAACGTAATGGTTAATTTCAGTTCTTATTTCCTTCAAGGCTTTTTCACCTTCTGCAATCGTGATCAATTATAAAATCACACTCGCTCCAAAACTAGCTAATTGAGCACTCTCGTGTAAAACTGTCGTGGAAAGAACAGCCACTTCAAGATAACAATAACCCATATTTCTTTCCTTTGAGCGAATAAAGCAAATAAATATATCTGGAAACACACGAGCATTTTCTGTTAAGAGAAACAAGCGCTGGAAATAAAAGTCAGATAAGAGAAAATTGTTTTGTCCAAAAAAGACGAAGCCCAATTGTATACAAGAGCCCGCTGTGCTTAGTGAAAGCTTCGGACTGTATTCTCCTTCGAATGTATGTACAATAAAAGCCATAGAGAGGAAATATCATCGCTGAGTTGCCAAATTTTAAGTTGCATTTTGCTCATTTGTCCAGTTGGGAGTTTTCCTTCATATGTCGTCAAGAAGCTGGGGTTTTATTTAATTTTCTATGGCATTTAACGTCGGACTTGGGACAAAAAATCAGCAAGTTTAACAACTATTTCCTTGAGCAAAAAATGCAAAATTTTACCAAAATATGCCTTTCCTTAGTGGAGTGTCTTCTCCAATATTTGGCAACAATGTTCGGTTTTCTTTGCCATCCTAAAACCCGGACGTATTGGACACATTCGCTCTAAAAGCAGTTGTTTATTGTTGTTGCTATCAGACATCTGATTTATGCCTTGCGATATTTTTCCGCTCCATAGGAATTTGAGAGCACATTTTTCCACTATTTACCATGACTTACCTATAGTTCCCCATATCAATTTGAGATACATTCCGGATAGTCAAAGTGTATCGGTTGCCTCGATTTTGGGTCGTATGCTGCTCGGTTGTCCCCAGTTGTGTAGTGTCTTTATACCAGATTACCTGGAAGAAACATTAGCAAAGCTTAAGAGTTGAAATGTGCTTCTGAATAGCCTCAATTAAAGCAAAAACTTGTACAAGTTCCGCAACAAAGACCGGAAATTAATAAGCAGTCAGACGATTCGAGCTGATTAAATCCTTGCAAGTGATTTGTCTTCGTTTGGAGTTCTCGGAAGCCAATAAAAAGCAATAGCGGAGGTACGCGAGAAAAGCGAAACTTTCGCTAAAAACCCTCTCGTATGCAACGGAGAGTTGCACTCCAATCAAACTAAACTTTAAAATGAAAAAGTGAAGTGGATCAAAGAACAATGAAAAGAAGCATTGTCTCGATCAGAACGGGGAAATCTTAGAAAATGCTGCCATTTACAAAAAGTTGCAGCTTGCGAGCTTTAAGCGTTTGAAACTTGTTTATTTGAGCTTCGGTATAAATCACTATTAAGCAATTGATTTTTTGCCGCATACATTCTTGTAGTTATAAAACATAATTTAAACAGTGTGTCGGAAAAATAAAAAAATCGGTCTGGGCCGTGTCGACAACGTATGTTTAGGTGCCGCAGAACTGGAAATATTACATAAAGAATTCCGAAAAGTTCTATCGTTCTGAAAACTTCCGCAAACAACTTCGGGAATATTTAACAAAGTTTCCTTGTTAAGTTCGTTAAAGCTTGTTAAAAAAATGTCAAAGGGACGTAATAGTTGAGCTCGTGTATATAAACAAGAAAGTTTTTATTCACAGCTATGTACTTTAATTTATTAAAAATGCATTTAATGTGCTGGAAGTTTTCCCTAGCAATTAGGACGGGCAATAAAATATTATAACTTTTTAAACATGGTTTGGCGTATCCAAGTGAGTTAAAACTCAGAAATTTATAGCAACTACAGCTGAATATAAAACAAACTTGCAAAAAACATTAGGCTCGAGTCCATGTATTAAATTTCAAACTGACAAACATACTTCTGGTACAGTGAAACCCTTTCTATTTAAGCAGCTGCGGTCATTGCGAATAACTCGTACCTTCATATACAGCGGTTATTCAGCGATTGAATGGCGAAATGCTTTTGAAATCCCAAAATCTTTAAAATCCTGATGCCAAATTTGAGCGGTGGAACTTTCCCTGTGAGTATTTGTCGTATTCCAAAGGGGATTTATTTAAATTGACTCGAGAGAGAACCCCGTTATTCAACTGGTCTTGTTTGGTGAGCTTTAACGAGTTTCAAACTTGGCAAATTTTATTTGGGATTCGATATTTATGTTGAGCTGAGTCGCTCATTTTTCTGTTGCCATTTTTCGCGATTTGTTAGCTAGAGGGTGCCCCGAATGGTTTGGTCCAAATATTTCTGTTATTGATTTCAGAGAATTTTCGCTGATCATTCGAAGTTTGTTAGTCTCGCACCATAAAGAGCAGGATCACAATATATTGGCTATGAAAGCGGCATAAAGTCACAACAATATTCATAATGGCCATAAAATCCTGAAAGGTCGTGCCAAGACCTTATGCAAGCATAAATCGCATTTTTATTGCAGGTAACGACCATATAAATTTGTCGGAATGACTTGGCTCTTGATCTCCGTGTTGAAAATTGCCAATTTAAGTTTTTTTCGTAAATCGTCAGAAGTCACCTAAGCTTAAACTGCGCATTGAATTTTCTAAGTCTAAACAACGCATTTCAAAATAACTTCCGGACGGTTTGTTTTGCAGGGAAATCAGGTTTATTTGTAGCTTTTGGCTCGAGCCGACTTGGACAAGCATAAAATCACTTTTTTGGTAAAACAGCATGCAATATTAAAGGTAATCAGTAATTTAAAGGTCCACTCTTCGGCCCAAACGGGCAGTCCGTTCCACTTGAATATTTAAGGCTATTTACGAAGGTCCACATACACACGAAACATGCTGAATATTTAAAAAAATCTTACCTGTGCCGAAGGCTCCGAATAAACAATGCAAACCAATTGGGCCTCCAAGCCGATACCCGTATGCACTGTTAGTCTTTCAACTTCCACTTCGGGTGGGTCTGCAAGAACAAATCATTCTAATCAATTATTCTATTAATAAACTCCAATTTTATATGGAAATATCGCCGATGTAAACACGTATTAAGCAGAAGCAGCAATAGAGTGGATTGAGGAGGAGCAGTACTAGTAGTTTTTCAAACACTCACACCGCTCAAAAAGTTTACATAATTTTTATCCGGATGAAACAGCAGATGCAAAAGGCTCCTGAAAACACGCTACAAGATGTAGGTCTAACACAATCCAGATTTTCGCTCAAAATTCCTCAAATTCAATATAATTTTTTTGACTCATTTAAGCGGGTTCTTTTCGGATATACCAAGATAATAATCATTCGAATTCTTCAACATCAACTGTTTAACATCAAAATGTTAAACAATCCGGAATAGTTAATGTTAAGCATTTACCAAAAACCATAAAAAAGATGCCATCAGCAGATCCTTGAAATAAATAGAGAAAACGGAGCGACATAAACTGTTCACTTGTTGGACTGATTTAAAACTAATCCGTTTCCCGCAAGGAAACGTTTCGTGCTAATAAAATGCCCTTCGAGTGAGTACAGGGATAAAAATACGACCCTCTATCTCCGACATCTGGCTAAAAACAAAGGTACAAAGCGCGTAAAGCACATGACGGGACAAGCAGACGGCCTGAATGATTTAGTGCGAAAGTAGGTCGGAAAAAACACTATCCTGATAACTCGTAGCGGCTAAATTTTAAATGAGAAAAATTCCCAAGTTGACAACGGAACGTTTCACTTCGGCATGTAAAAGCCGACAGTTGGCTGATATTTTCCAAATGTTTATAGTTTGGGAAACCGTCCAGAAAGTTAATTTTTTCTTAAAATATCCTAGAAAAGTTTTTGCAGAGTTATTCAAATGTCCCACATACAAATCATGTGTTTTTAATCTAAAATTTATTATCAATGAAATGCTGTATGGGCACTTAATTTCATTGTATTAAATTCAAATAAAACCACAAAGAGTCTGAAAGCCCATTCATGCCATTCGTCGGTACATCGATTTTTATATAGTGAAATTTATTTTGAAATTTGGAATTTGGTTTTATCGAAAACTCGCAAAACTGCAACTCTAAAATGGAAAAGCAAGTAGACAATAAAAAAGTTAAAAGAGCATTATTCGGTCGGTCTGGAGCATTATTAAAAACGCTGCGGTTCACATAAACTTGTTGAAACGGGTATTGAGCTTTTGAACTTGTTGATATTAGATGTTTCGTGTTTCTCTTATATTGTCCGTATTCCTTACATGATCCGGAAAATTGCATGATAATGCTGAAGCTTTATTGGGGTTAGTCACTGAAAATACATTTTAGTGTTTATCAGCATTTCCCATAGAATTAACAGAAAACTAATCAGCTTCAAGCAGGCCATAACACTTCTTTTCACAGTGGAGATTTATTTAAAGTGATTTAGACTATTTGGTTGGCTCGATCTCGTGTATGCTTGGAAAATTTCATTTCGCTATTGTGGAATGAAAAGTCAAAATCGAGCAATGCATTTTTATCAGTGAATTGAGCGGGGAAGAGCCCGCTTTCAAGAAACGGTAAAATGGGTTTAACGAAATACCCAACCTACTTGGAAATATGTTTCTTTCGATTGCGGGGTGCGCTATTTACTGGCTGCTATTTGTTTATGAAAATGGGCTTGAATATTAAGATGCTATTTTGAATATTTATCCTGCAAGTTTCATGGGGAATAAATGAAACTGTACTGGGAGCTTTGAATAAGTCATAAGGCTTGATTCCGGAGCAATTAGATAACCATCGTTACTGACACAATAATTATTCTGTCTTATACCTTTTTTATTCCTGATGAGAACTAAGCAGCTGGGTGGATTTCCGACATCATAAATTATTAGAGCTGATGTCTTATTTAATCCGTCATCGATACAACTCAGTTATTGTGCCATTCCACAAGTTTTCCCATCAGGGAAGCAAGTAAGCTGATAATTACGATGAATAATTGAAGCAATAAGAAGGATTTAAACAACGGCAGCTAACTGAAAATTATAAATTTAATGTCAGGCTACATTGTGAATAAAATATTTCTGCTTCTGTCGCTAGCCGATATCGCTGTCCAGTGTAAACATGAGGCAGACTTTAGAGCGGCAACGCGCTCTAACTTGTTGCAAGGCAAACAGTTTACATGAACCGTTGTAAACTAACTTGGTTTTGAACTTATTTTGTTTATTGTTTTTATGAATTCTATTAGCAATGTTTGTATCGATAAGCCCGAAACGAACTACAAGGTGCATGAATAATTAATTGGCCTTGGGCCTGTGGTTGTTAACAGACATTTAAATAATTCAGACAGTTCTTTTTACCAAAGAAGTAATTAGAGAAGATCAGAAACGAATATCTTATCAATGGCAATATCGGCCACGTAAATTACTGGCCTTTTCTTTCAGTTGTTGACTGCATAGTTTCCCACATTTATTGTTATTCTCTTCAGTAATTTGTCAATGCAGAGCCTCAACAAACGCAAATAAATAGGTTCATTTTTTGCCTTTTTACTGCTATTTGCAATCGATTTTTCGGAGGGTTTTGTCGAAGAGGAGTAGAAGCTACTTGTAAATATCCACTGTGGCTCAAATATCCAAATTTAAGAATCTCCGAAAAGTGCAATTAATTTTTTTGTTATATTTGTGCTAATCACAGAAAATTCCAGGGATCCTGTACACGTAAACAGGGCAAATAGCAAACAAACTGGGACTTAGAGAACATCGATATTCGTTTAACACAATCAACAGTCGCTAATCGAATTTCGCGAAATGTCTATATCGTCCAATTGGCGATTTCCATTGTGATCATACAGGATGAACCAGTGTCAATATTACTAAATTAAATAATGTTCCAACTTGGTATAAATTCTCAATAAAAATGTAACAAGTCTATTAAACTTCTCTAAGTTTGATTTTAGATATAAAATTGAAAAAACGATTAAATACACTGTTTGCTGTGCCAATCTTGGACACTCTGGGACCGATTTCGAGCTCATTAGCTCTCATTTTCCCGAAAAACAACACCCTCAAAGGACATATATCTTCAGTGTTATTTTCAGGCTAAATGAGAGGTGATAAGCTCCAAAGCGTTCTTTGAGGTGTCTGAGATTATGGTATCTCTAAATCTGCACTTATTGATGCACATCAGGAACATCTTATGCTTCTAGAATGCCGAAAGGCATTGTTCTTGAATTAAAACGGAGACGCGTTGTATAAAATTCGTTCTCTTTAAATAATGAATCGGTTCCGATCAGAATACATCTGACGCGTGATTGGAGGTTGATGTAGTATATTGATGGCAAATAAATTGATTCGGTGTCCATTATTTGGGAGGCTGAAATTTTCATTAAAACACAAATGTGAAAACTGTGTTGATGATGAAGGCTCCAGATTGACATCACACTGTTTGAATATAATTCGATAATTGAGTGGTGTTACGTGTAGATTGTCCCGGTTAATTTAAAAGCCACCATTATGGATGCGCATTTTGGAAGGTAATAATTATTTTATAAAATGATCGCGCCAAGCATCAATATTCAATCAATCGCGCTCTTAAATAGGCGAAATGCAGCATTCATGTTCGCACTTTAATTATATTATCTGGTTCCAGAAGGAAACATATATTTAATGTTCGTGGCTTTTGCGATGAGACAGAGGGGTGTTTGTTTTTTATTTCCAGATTTTGCCAATTAAAACTTTGTTCAATTTAAAAAGCGCCTTCGTCTCAAGTAACGAAATTAGCCCTTCGTTGACAACTTTTGTATTAACTTTGTAATACCATAAATGGGTCAAATTTCCCAAGCGGAGCATTGCTAGCCGAAATTGCACCAAAGTGATTAGACAAATAATGTATTGAACCTTCTTTGCTTTAGAACAGCAGCAAACAGTTGATTATTGATAAATGTGTACCAATATAAATCATACAAATTGCAATAGTGAATTATTTCACGGTGATCGTTCCAATTACATGTTATTAATTAATTAGTGCAACTGTTTGCTAAATAACGTAAATAGAGCTGAATTCATGAGGCAATAAGGTTTTATATAAAATGGGAATTATCATCTAATGTTCCATTTGAAGCGAAAAACAGCTGGAAAGTTATAGACATTTAATGGATATGCAAATTTTATAATTATTGCAAATGACAATAAACCGAATAGGGAGAATGTTAGAAAATCGAATGCGCATTGGGTTAATTAACCAATATGTGGTTGGGTCGTCATTATCAACATATGGACAAAATTGCAAAAATTGGGCACAGTTCCAGCCACCGAATATCACAGGGGATCGATTATTGTTGCTCTAAAACTGCAAATTTCGTTTCCAGAGCCCCAGCAACTAAACGAAGCGAATATTGAATTACACTTAAACCCGGTATTTGACTAAGAGCAGTAGCAAAACTTCCCAATTCTCTGGTGGAGTTTCTTAATTCGAGTTTTTTCTGACAGCCTGAGCTTGGAGGAGTTTGCGGGTTTATTTTAAGCGATTATTCACAATCAGTCCTCATTTAACTTTATGCAATATTTCTAGCTTTAATTTATCTGGATTACGTTATTTCAGTATATTGTTCTGAATGTTTCGGTCCTGCTTAAACCAGATTTAAGGAATGTTTAAAAAAGTCCCTAAAATCTCAGGCATTAATGATATTTTTTAATGGGTCCGGAAATGCAACGCGTTTAAGATACAAAAAGAGAAAAGTGGTAATTGTTCGTCTTAAGCTTTTGCAAAATATCTGAAACATTTTTTGCTGACGTTACCAACTATTCCTTACGGGAGTTATGAAGTCCAGTGGCGTCAGGGGGACACCTTCGGCCAATTTATTAGTGAACAAATATACTCCACTGACTTTCAGGATATTTCCTTAGTTTTTTTAGAGATGGAGCCTCAAGAAAACTCGTTTTCTTTTGAATTTTTGTGGTATCATGCTTGGCTTACGCGAAAAAATAAACACATTTTTTAGCTACATGTCGCGAAAAACGATAGATAGTTTTCAATGGAAAATTGTGAACAACAATTAACTAACGCCCTGCCCCTTGAAGACAGTGAATTGGTGTTGGATTTTACAAGAAAAAACTTGAGAAATCAGCTCATTAAATTCTGGCACAGACCCTGTGGATTTAAAGCCGTTCAAGCCTCTGATGTTTTCCTTTTCCACTTTGCTTCGTTCCATTGTGGCAATGATCATCCCCTGTTTCTCTCTTCGACACTCGCAAACCCTGTCTATTACCCTACGCCGTAAAAAAACCGATTCAAATTACAAACATCTGAGCATGTGAATTTCGAATTGGTGTTGGATTTTACAAGAAAAAACTTGAGAAATCAGCTCATTAAATTCTGGCACAGACCCTGTGGATTTAAAGCCGTTGTATAAAACACTTACATAGAACATTGATATTGATGTGCTTCGTATCGGGTTCTCCTACTCCATTATCAGCCGAACATTGATATTGGCCAGCTGAATGCCTATCGGCATGCTGAATAACCATTGTTAAACCTTGGATGCTTCGCTCCCCACTGGGCATCACATTGTTTTTCCTCGTCCAGGAAACGGACGGCACCGGATTTCCCGAAGCTCTGCACTCCATTTTCACCATCTGGCCTTGCGTAACTTCCACGGTACCCGAATGGGATACGAAATGTATCCTGGCTGGAACTATATGGGGGTTGTTAGGAACCAGTTGATTTCACCTGCGAAGACTTACCCAAGACTTCCAAGGTATGGACAATTTCCTTGGGTTCGATGGTGCCCAGCTGGCATATGTAGTCTCCTGCGTCTTGAGGTTTCACGTCCCTCAGCTCCAAACTGTAGCCGCCGCCTGAAAGTTCGGGAACACCACCAATACCCGATGCTGGAACAATTAGTTTAATGTTCACGTGGCTGGAATTTTGCAATTAACCTACTCACCTGGAGACTCAATAGTGGCCGACGGTAAAACTCGAAGTCTCGGATCCGGAGAGACTTTGACAGGGCCGGCCGTTAATACTGCAATTCCACGCTTCCACGCCAACACGTAACTCCCTGTAGACCGAAATGTTGGAAGTCAGTTTCTGCTATTGACTTGGATTGTTTAATATTGCAGCATTGGAGTTTGCTTTGTATTTGAATTTATTTCGCTCATGTTTGCTGCGATTGGCTTGCGGGTTCTGTCCAAGACACAACAAAGAAATATTCGGAAAATTTTACCTGGCTGCGTAATTCGACATGGCAGGATGACGGTGGCTCCTGAGGCGATCCGATATGTCTGACCAGGGGTAACAAAAGAAGGCGGTTTTCCGTGGGGGATTTCGTATTCGTTAAGTTGGGGATCGGCAAATGTTCCTGAAAAAACAAAAAACAACATTACAGTCCAGTTGGGAAACTAGGAGCAACATTCCACCAATTAGGCTCATTTTTGCCAAAGTCAAAGTCTTAAACATCGCAAAGCGGAAAATTTGTCGCTCAAAACACCAGGAAGAAAGTGAATTTTGCTCCAAATCTTGGCAGTGATTTTTCGTTCATTTGCGGGAAAAATAGCAATGAAAACACCAGTGTATTACATTATCCATTTATTCTCCATCATAGCGAAATTTGTTGAACAAACAAAGCGGGCTTTGCCATGAAAGGAAAATGGGAAATGGACAAGCCACTGGCGTGTGAAAATAAGTCTGTGAACATTGCCGCTGACAGACGAGCTTTTAGTATTGTTTGTGTTGGAATATTCGTCGCTTTTTATATAAATATGACTCTACAGAAATGAGGCTGTTTTCCGACAGGCCGCCAGAAAGTTTCCTTTGCCAGCGCATTTTCCTAAATATAAATTACATTAAGAAGCTATCGAAGCAATTTACTGCCACGCAGAAGGGGGGCTTTTCTTTGCATGAATAACATTAATTATTATCCAAGAAATTTGCTGTATTGTTTATCGAAGGAAATTTGATATTTGGTGCAAAAACGATACGATGCTTTCGCTGGATTTTTTCCAAAATCGGCGCATAAAATATTAATCAATTTGTTGCTTTTTTCGCAAATAGGTGGGTAAGAAAAATGGAAAGGCACACTGATTGAAAACTCTGCTTAGGGCCAGAAAAAGATTGAAATTACGCAGAGCGCGCGATTCGAAATTTCGTAAACAGTATACAAGCCGCGTTTGTATACTTTAAACGTTTTTCAAAATGAAATCACAACAATTTTTATAATGGGCTTGATTTTTATTCAGCAACAACAACAAGCTTGATGGTAGTATTGCTTGCATTATAGGTGAAAGCGGATGACAATGTTTTTAAGGCAAATAATGAAAAGGCAGTAAAAACAGAGAAAGTTAAAATTGAGCCCGAAATTTCCCATGTATATGCATCCAAATCAAACGCCTTAAACATGGAAGTATTTCCAATCTTTTTAAAACTAGTTTTCTACCTTTTAATTATCTGGTTTTGTTGTTTGCGGGATTTCCATTTTACACAACATAAACCGCTGAAGCTTTTTTACCAAATAAAAATACGCTAATTCTTTTTATTTGCACATTTTTAATTACCTAAATGGCTTCCGAAGCTGGTAAAACAAAGCCATTGCGAATGTTCAGCCAAATATTGACAACTTCCTATTCGAATGAACAGCAAAAATTTGAAATATACTCAACGAAATGGTTTAGCTATGGAATTAAAGGCCTAAAGCAAAATTCTAATCGTTTTCTGTTGATGGAAATATTTCAACTGTGCGTTACTTGAATTGTGGGCGTGTGTTTTAAATAGGCGGATTTCTTTGCTTGAGTATAGTGCGGTCGAAAAGTTTTGAAGGTGCCTCTTAAGTCACAACTTTGTGGCAATTTTGCTCAGAACTCAGACTCTGATCTAGCAATCAGAGTGCCTTTGGCGTTGTAGGTCGTAAGCGTTAACAAGCTAAGTAGTATTTGCTATTTTCATAAACATGTGTATCAAACATGCACTTTTATGATAGCAAACAAGCTGCTAACACACACATACACACACTCTATTATCTGTGATGCTTCTGATTTGATTTTTTGGTTTTAGAAATTAATAGTTTCTGATTGAGTTCAAGCCTCTGATGTTTTCCTTTTCCACTTTGCTTCGTTCCATTGTAGCAATGATCATCCCCTGTTTCTCTCTTCCACTCGCAAACTCTGTCTGTTACCCTACGCCGTAAAAAACCCGATTCAAATTACAAACATCTGAGCATGTGAATTTCGAATTCACGCTGTTGAAGGAATCCATCGAAATGTATAATTAAATATTCCGAATCGGAGTTCGTTTAATTTTAAACAAACTCCCATAGAGATGCGACAGAACGAAAGGATAATTCCCATTATTATCAGCTGGATCGCATAATTGGCCAGAATTTTGTTGGACTATGCTGGGTCGATCATTATTCAAACAAATTTATTGTTTGCCGTTGCATTGTTTCAGATTGGAATTCCAGAGCTTCGACATGACATGCCATAAGCTATCAGTAGCCTACATATTGATTGATGTTAATTTTGATTTATTAGGGAATGCTGTGCAGTCAAACGAAGATTACCAGTAATACGGTGCATTCAAGGAAATTAAATGTTGGCCCTAATGGAGCTTCATGCGGACAGAGATATGGACATGTATGCGCACATTTTCTAAAATTATGCTTTAGTCTCTAAAACCCATTTTTATACTTCTTTATGGCCTTAGCGCACATTTCACATTTTCTGGACCCTTCTTTGCCCCGGTTTCTCCAATTAAGGGCTTATTGTATAAGTTGTTGACCGCTCAACTTCCTTTGCCGTTCGCAAAGCCAATAATATAAGTTTCAATTATGTTTGAAGCTTTTGCTGAACTTGGAGCCTTGAACTCCATAATGCTAAGAAACAAGCTTGCGGTTATACGGATCTCGATCATTCTTAAACGGTTAGACTCCAAATAGTTTGATAAGTGAACTCAATTGACTCCAGTAAAGTGAGACAATTGCTAATCTGCATTTGCAAAATTTACCGTCCAAGGATAATTATTACGCTGATGTGTAAAGTTGTGTGTTTTATGAAACTGTTAAGATCTTCGGGTTTGTAGGGCGCAGTGAAAGTTGCCTTTCTGAAGCTTTACAACCACGAGTGGGTAGCACTTTCAGGAGTTTTCAAACTCACGAGCTTCACAGGCTCATTTTTTGACCTTGTCTGTCTATTGAAATAATTTCTGCCTGAACATTGAACACATTTGCGGGTTTGGGGTATAGATAAGCAAATTTTCCGAATTTGGGTATTGTTAAAAGAAATTTTCGTAGGCCTCAACGCCGTTGAAAATATAGCATAAATTGTGATAAATGGCGTATTCATTTTCGGTTCGACGATTTTATTCAACGATATTCCTTCGGAGGGTCCCGTTTTATTGGGGAATTGTAAATAGCGATATATTTTAGAACGGTTTTTTATGCGGCAAAATTGACTCATATGATGCAAATGCAAACGACTCGAAATACCATATCTAAAACACACGTTCAGTTACTAAAAACTGAAGTTCAACAAATTTCTTCAAATGTATGCATCCACTCAGGTAGTTTTGAATTTCTAAATGAATTAGTCCTAAATATCAATCCAAACTTTGAGAGCACTTCTCAAATTTCTAATTAACGTTTCTACAGCTGCATGCGAAGTTTGTTTAATGTGGTTTGTCTATGGAAATCTGGAAGCGCGCTCAAACTATTGTGCATCTAATAATATTACAATTTCTAGGCCTGTTTGAACTGCTAATTAGTTGCAGTTAATTGGTTAGTCAATCCATGTATAGTGCTAATCTAAATCAACGAATATTTAAGCTCAATGTTAACGAAGAGAGTGATTTTACACATTAATAGGCCGGTTGCCACATAGCGAAACTTTAATTATCATAGTTTCGGCAATCAACTTTTGCCATACATTTTTCATGGGAAAGAAACCGCAATTTTTCAGGCAAGGGAAGCGTGTTAAAATTTAATTTTCCTTTTAATTTAAAATGCGCACAAATGCAACTTTAAATATGGCGGATAGTATGCTGGCCCAGTAATTATTTAACACATGTTCCAGGCATAAATTTGTCAGAATTACAAATTGCTTTTTTTACTTGTTTGCTAACACTGCATCCAATTTGTGAAATGCCGTTATTGTCATGTCGGAAAATAAATGAAATTATCATTGAAAATAATGGTGTGGATGGGGTTGTCACCTTGTGTTTTTCAGGACATTGAAATGCCATAAATGCTGTTTATTGTCGGGTAATAATTTCATTGACCCAATTTCAGTGTACAAATTATATGTTAAAGCTCAAATTTAGCACAAACTTGGCAATTCGTCTGGCCCTGTATAAGAGCTTTTTACCAAAAGTAATTTTTTCAAATCATTTTTCAAAGTAGATTTTTAGGGGTTGGCGCAGTGCTGACAAACTTAAGACATTTTCGGCCAAAAAATTAAAAATACATTCTATTAGAAGACTCGCCTCCTTTGTCTCCTAAAAAGTTTTGAAATCCCTTTGCGGCTTCTAATTTGTTACAAGAAAATAAATTTTCGATCAAACAAAGAACAGAATTTGCTAACGTTTATAATAAATTATTTGGAAAACTCGTCAATTCCTTGCCTTTGAAGACTGTAAAGTTTATTAGAAAGCTGTGATTTTTTAGTTTTGACTGAATTTTTTCTTGCTTTACTCTCTACTCAAAATCGCTCTATATCGTAAAATTGAAATTTAAAATTGTATTGTTTATGTTTTTCTACGGGAGGAAAAAGGAAAGTGAAAATTAAGTTAGAATCTGTCGGCCATACTCTTCCAATTAAAACTTCCTTCAATTAAAACTTTTCGAATAAACCAAATTGCGCATTTGGTTGACCACTTTTTTAATAACTTTATGACGGAAAAGCAGCGCTTTAATTTTCCAAATAATGCAACCGTGATGAATTTGAAATTCAGCCCAGTCTTTTAGTGTCAATCAAACTGAATATTGTATCCTTTGTTGTAGTCGCAATAATTAGTTACACAGTGAATAAATAATTATTAATTTGTTTTCGTACATAAATCGTACATTTGATAAATGGGAATTATTTTCTGCTACAAACATGTTTATTGATCATTAATTATAACGAATAAATACTAGTTTTTTGTACTTCCCTAATTAGTTGATTGATAAAAGCAAAGTAGCGAGAAGTTAACAGTTATTTCTCACATTAGTGCACATTTTGAATTATTAATTTGTTCACTGAGAATTAAATATTTTAATAATTTAGCCGACTTGAACGAAAAATGCTAATTCCAAAATCCGGCTTTAATCCTTCAACCGCTTAATGCCTTTATTGCGAAACTTTAGACATTACGCCGATTTTGAGCCGCACTGCC